TAATACCATACAATTCTGTTACAGGTAATATATAATATCTTACATTGTTCTTGATTTATAGTTCATTGAAACTGTATACTTCTTTATGAATCATCCTGTATTTTGATAGTTAATTATTCATCCCTGACTATTTTTCATTTGTTATGTTCTTATTGTAATTGTGTTTTACAGAAATTAAATTACTGGAATAGTTTTCCTTTCTTCATTTTCGGGCAATAAAATTCACTGAAAAGGGGGAATATGGTATTAAAAAACTTTCAAAACTTTGTGCTAAAACACTAGGAGAAAATACGTGAGTAAATATAGTACATATTTTTTCCCCCTTACGAATATCATCAAATTACTAACATGATGATAACTAATCAGCATATATTTGAAACAAGCATAATATCATTATAGAACTGCATAATGATTCAAAATTTAAAAACAGCCCAGCAATAGGTGGTTAAGAATAATTTTATATGGAGATCCAGCTATTAATATTATTTTTTATGCAGCAAGATTAATCCAAAATAAATCACAAAGTAGTTAATTGCAAGATGTAAAAGCAGCATAAAAAATTTACACTTATAACAGTTTCAATAGTTTTGTCATTAATAATTCAGATAACTTTAATATCCATTTCATTGTTCGAATACACATAAAAATATTTTCGTAGTATTTATTTTTTATATATCAATAAACAATTATGCATTGAAAATATATTAGGCTGAATTTTTCTTTTTACAAAATAATGTATTAAATTTTTTCAGAATTCTGTAAGTTGCATTTGCTTTTGTGTATGCTTAATAAGCTTTAGATCAATTTTATTATATTCTATTTATTATACTTTTCTTTTTATAATATTTCTACAATATTTCTAACGCAGTATGAACTCTACTGAATTCTTACTTCCCAAAACTGATGTAATAAAATAATTTTTTATTTTAAAGAAATTTTAGATTTTTGTAAAAGTACTTAAGAATTGTTATTTTTTTAATTTTATTAAAAAGCAAAATACTGTACTGATTGTTTGTAACAGAATGATTTTTTCTTTTTTGTCCGTATGTTTTTCAAATGTATAAAATATATTATTATTAATTCATTTTTCTCTGTGAGCAGATTTAAAAATATGTGATTATGCATGAACTTTATGCAGTGTTTTAAAATATTACTTAATTTTGGGAGTTTTTCTTTTCCTGCATGCATTTCTTAAACTATGCTATAGTAATACTGAACCAGTCAAATAACAACATATTGTCTCCACTTAATTTCTGTTTGGTTTTTTTTTTTTTTTTTTCCCCCTTCCCCCTCCACATTTTCAGACTAAATAACAAAAAGATACATCATTTGTGTCACTAAACTTTAAAATTTTGTATTTTATCTAGAGTAAGGAATTTTAATTGTTGGTGAAGTTTAAAAAAATCATTCATTTAAATAAATTGCCCAATTATGATAAACTAGCATATTTCTAAATTTTTGATATTATAGAACAAGGTGTAACTTTTGAGAACTTCTTTAGGAACACATGTTAAGGTTGATGTTTATAGCTAACATTTAAAATTTATATATATTTCCCCTTTGTAGTATTATGTATGCTTTCCTTTTTTCAAGGTAAATATTTTATAGTTTGATTCATTGCTTCAGTGCAGCAAATTACTTTCAAAAATGTACTCTACATTTAAAAATTCTTTTATGGAATTATAGTTTCTGAGTAATTGTAATCTTTTGAAATATATATTTAGTAAATGTTTGGTTTCTTGTAAATAGCAAAACAGTTTTAAGATAATTAATAAGATAATGAAATAAATATAAAGAAATAACATTTTTAGTTTATAAAATCTTGCACTACATTGCCTCTTAAAAAGTGCTGGTTAGAATTGGTAATACAAAAGTAAAATATTTTTCAAGTGGTTTCACAGGAAATCATTAGTTTCATATAAATGGATGAAGAAATTGAAAAAAAAAATCATAAATTATTTATATTTAAATGCTTTTTATTATTAGACTACTGTATGGTTACTCTATTTAAACTAAAAGAAAACTGTAACCTTTTGTTGCTCATTTTAGAGGCTGATTTGTCTTTTTATTCAGTCATGCACATCTTTTTTCCCCCCACTTTGTTTCATAAAAGTGTAATATTTTATAGTTGCAAATGTTTTCTTTTGTTGGCAGCCAACTGGTCTTATTGTTTATAGGTCAATTAAAAAGTGCCATACAATCCACTATAGCTAAGTAATGATAAAACATTATGGATACTTTTCCGCTTTGCCGGCTCAGACGATAAAGTCATCAATAAAGGTACAACTGATGCCAAACGGAATATCCTTGCTGGTAACTTTTTACTCCTCATTTTCAAAACAAGTCGCAGCCATTTCTTATTAGATTGATTGTTTGTTTCAATACTGGCATACAATTACATAGAATTTTTACAAGATAGTTAAATTTTATGCCCTAAGACCATTCATGGGTGGTAATTAAGGGATTAATCAATTAGGATGCAATCACACCATTCACCCGAAGGCGGAAGTATAGAAAAGGCAAAGTGATGGGTTAAATTCATCAATTCTAATGAGAATGTATTAGCAAAGTAAAGCACTGAAGTTTTACATAATTTGAGTAAGCTATTCGTACGAATTGAAATAATTTTTGAATTTAAACTTGTATTCCAAATTAAGATTTAACTTGAAATAAATGTAGATAATTACTGAGAGAATTAGATTTTGTAACGTAGTTTACGTGAGATGAGATACTTGGGGTCATGAAACAGCGAATCAGGATGTTGTACCATGAAAACATAGTAAATTCTTAATGTCTTTTTACAAATTTATTGTCTTTACTTATTGGCTTTTTTACAAAATTTTAAATGAAATTAAAATGTTTATACCTTCAAAATAAAAGTTCTTAAAAATAACATTAGTCAACTTTTTTTATGTGTATACTGTGTGTTGTCACCAATAAAGACTGCTTGGCGAGATTTGCGCCGGTGAAACGGAAAAGTACCACATTATGAAATGAGATTCTGTAAGCAGAGGTACTGTTCTTGTGGAAGTGTCATTCACAGTTTATCATTCTTTTGATTTGTTGCACTGCAGCCATCTTTATTTCTTGTAATACGAATATACATCTGTTCCATCGACTTCCTTTTACCGTCAGGATCAAAACGAAACAACCAAGTTTCACCACACTGTTATGCCTCCATGGAAGCATTGTAAAGATTACAAAGAGAAACTGCAGATCATCTCACATTTTCTGACTTATTTGCATTGCTATGCCTGTGTGCTCTATGCTGGTGGTGATGCATTTATTATTTAAAATGAATTCTTATGACTGGTGCATTTTCATCAGATGTGATGGTTAATGGTCAATAACTGGTGACATAAATCCCAAGAGAAAGTTTACAGAAGATCCTCATACATGAATACATAGAAAATGTACATAGAAAATATACATAGAAAACATCGAAATTTTCTATGTATTTTCCTCATACATAGAAAATGTATATTTTCTTCCTGATTTGCATCACCTCCCTTGTCAAGATCGCGGAACCGTATAGCGAGTAGAAGTTTTCTGTATCCCAATGTTTGGATTGCCATTAGTACAAGTCCCTTTCTCATTCCTTTGTGTTCTTTGATCTGTTTTATGGTGATACATCTAACATTTTGATTGAATTCATCAATGGCTTGTGCATTTTTGTTGGTTGTGATGGTTGACGAACCAGTTGACTGTGGGTAATCCTAAGTGTTGCAATTACCACCCTGAAATCTTTGATGCTATCGATATGCATTGCTTCGATTCATTGTTTTGTTCCTACAGACTGGCAACAACTTACTATGAATCGATGTTGTTGAGTTATTTCGGGATTTGTAGGGAAATTCGATCATTGCACATTGACAGGTATCACTTAAGATGGTAAAGGAATATCCTTCTATGTTAAAAATTTCATTTATCTAGTGCTTGTCATTACCAAGCTACAGTGGATCAGGCATTACTTTTTGATCAATATACTTATAGCAATATGGAAAATTTTGCTATGAGCATTGCTTATATGTTGAAGTATTAATGAAATATAATAAGCCAATAGTGGAATAATTGAATCCAATAGTGGAAGAATGAAAAAGGTTGCATTTAAATAGAAGTACACGAGAATTTAATTCCATTTTCTTAAATTTTGTTGCAGCAAGTATGTACTTAAAATTAAATATTTATGTAGTGAAAGAACCCTTTTTGAACAAAGAAGCTTTCTAGGTATTGGAAATGTTTTCAGTATTTAGCAAGTAAGATGTTGAACTAATGTAGCAAAAGTGGAATTTTTCCATGAATGTGTTACTTCATTCAAGGCAATTCTCTGTGATCTCATTGTAGGGAAAATAAACCGGTGATTGGGGCAAGGCCAGAATAAAGTGCATTCAGTTACTTAATTTTTCTTCATTTTATTATGATTATTGCTACATTAGTTACCTTTAGCACATCTGATAAGCACGACTATCCAGTATATTTTGCAATTGCTTACATCAGCAGATGAAGAAATATTATAATCTTAGTGTGTTAAACAATGTTTGCTAGTCTTAAAATTGAGAGAAAGAGCTTATGGCTTTTGTGTATGTTTTTATTTGTGTTGTAAAAACTGGAGTTATTATGAAGTGTTTTATACATATGCTGTGTTTTTCTCCCCTGTAATAAATTCTATGGAACTGTTGCAGTCTTTGAATATTAAAATTTAAAAATATTATAGGAAATAAGTCATATGTGCTAGCTTTCTGGTTTTTGATTTTGTCTTTGCAAAAATGTGCTGTACTTTATTGATAAAATTATTAAAATGTTTTACTTCAAAGATATTGTTTTGACTTACTGTAGCTTTATTTATGCCTATAAACCTTTAGAAATCAAAATCAAGAAAGTATTTTAATAGAAATTATAGTGTGTATGTTTGCATTTTGTAGATTAAAGTTTATTTACTGTTTCTGTTACTAAAAAGTTACTGGAACTGATATATCCTTGTATATGTATTAAAAATTCAGTCAGTTATGGAGTGTTCACATGAGGGCTTTGCAGTCGCAAGTGGCAAAAACCAAACTTTGTTGATAAGCAACCAGATCTTTCTATGTCGCAGAAACTAGTATAAGGATTTTGTCTAAATGAAATGTTCACTTTCTGCCAACTTGGTATAAGAACAGACCAGTGACACTGAAGAAACTGTAAACTGATAAAAATTTTATCAATGATTTTATTCATGCAAGCACAACTTTACCATCCCAGTTTGGCTATGGTGTAAACCTTGTTACACATGTGTGAATAAAGTTGAATTTTACATCTTAATACCACAACAATGATGATGACTAGATCATTGTGTGAATGCTCCCTTCTTATGGTACTTTCAAGCTTTTTAATAAATTGCTGTAGTTTTCTTTTAAGTATCAATTGGCCTGAATATAAGATAGCCTATCATGGAACAGGAGTGTACATTTTCTAATATAAAAGAATTGTAGTATATAAGACTCTTTGTATATGGATTTGGAATACTGTATGGGTATTTTTCATGAAAAGTGAATGGTCTACATTCTTTGAAGAAAAGCTTTTCTAATTCAAAAATTGGATAGATAATAAGCTATACATATATCTTCCAATTTTTGTACCAATAGATATATATATACATACCCACACACATTTTTGCATTTGGATCCACATAAAAGACAGGTAAGGTTTTTAGAATTGCATTTAAAGTAAAAATTGTTTCTTATATTCAAGCCAAACTGGTAATTAAAATAACATCAGTGTTTTTTTTTTTTTTTTTAATGTACCTTCTTTCAGTGAAAATGAAATGTACTGTCAAATATATTTTTGACATATATATGCAAAGCACAATAAAAATGTATAGTCATTTAATTAAATGTTTTATTTTGTTAATATGTTCAATAGATTAAAAAGTGTAACATGGTTAGTATGCAGGGTGGTCATGAAAAACTTCCCCCATATATGAAACCTTAGAGGCCTGTCTGCTCAAACACCTGAAATGAATTTCAGATACCTTCATTTGTATGCGCTTGGGATTTAAAACAATAGAAATATCACTGTTACGCTTACAAGGGGAAAATTTTGAAACTTTTCAATAGCAACGCCCACTTTTTTCCATCTTAACGCATTGAAAAAACGGCGTTAGAAGGATACACATATGACGAAAATTGCCAGCGTAAAACATTGGTAAAGGACTACTGACAACACGAGAGAGGAAACACCAAGCTCTTAGAACCGCTCCTGCTACTGAAACCAACTGCGGCGTCCTGTAACGATTGCTGCCAGTAAGTGATTTTGAATCTAAGCTTATAATCACTGCGTTATCTCACTTCGTCTTAGGCAGGAGGAGACAAGTGTTAGCGGGCGAAAGCCAATAGGCTAAAAACAAGGCAGAAGATGTCAGCTGAGAAAGGGGGCTTCAAAGAGCCAAACGGCTGAAAGAGGAGAGGTGCCTTTCGACTAATAAAGGAAGAAGCAAAAGCTAAAAACTCGTCTAAGAAGGAGAGAGCCTTCACGGCTTAAAAAGAAGGGGGGGAAAAACATAGGCAAAATGAAGCAAAACCTAACAACCATGGAGGTAGGAAGTAGGAAAGTAGGAAGTGCCTTTCTTACCTCCATGGAAAACTAGAAGCGCGGGGAGAAAGCAGAAAAACGGCTTGGGGGAATGTCAATTTAATCTGCAGGGACAATTGGTGACACCTTTGTCGCAGCCGCAGTAATCAACTGCCAACACTTCTTCCTACTAAGTGTCAGGCACAGAAAATTCCGATTATGTTCAACTCACAGATATGAGTATTTTACATTTTTCAGCTATGTTAGGGAAACTTAGTTTTATTCCCAGTTGAGATAGTGTCAGTTGTGAAATGTTGAAACATTTGTTCTCTAACTCGTGCTCTTTAAATGGAGTGTGGAAGAAGCATAATTTATTCAGTGCATGGAAGAAAACTATTTTCATTCAAGACCCAGAAGAATCCCTTCAACTATAAGATTATTTACTTTGGAAGTTGCATCCGCAAGCTGTTTGAAATACACAAGCCATTCCATCGCTGTGTTTCTTCGTCTTTAAGAGGGGCGGGTTAAACCTTTTGGGGACCCCTGGCGGTAAAATTTTTGGGGTTCCCTAAAAAGTACTTACTAACATATACGTTTGAAATATCGGTTCGCAATTAGTGCTGAAGTATAATAAATCATTAAATACACATTGTTACTTAATATTATTCATATTGTAAGGCTTATCCTAAGTTTTCAACATTTATCCTTAGTTAAAGCTACATTCCTGTCCTTCCTACTTTCAGCTCACAATTTCCTACCATAATGTGTTTTTAGAATTGCGTTTAATGCAAATGAGTAAGAGTGATATTTAAGTCGAAATTCCGCTGACTTCGTTAGACAGCCATTTTCTGATAAGCTCGAGTCGCCTTTTGGCTACGTCTCTTTCTAAGCTGTTACTACGTGCGGCCGTATTACAGACCCTTGATAGCTTCGTCAGCTTATTTGATATTTAGGGGCCACTACTTAGAATTGTGATAGCTTCGACTATATCTTTTTAGCTAAGCATTAGTTGAGTTTTATTTCTTAGTTTTAGTTCAAGCCCAAGTGGAGACTTTGCTGTACGCTCTGAGAAAGGAGGTGACTGTTCAATTCTTATTTTGAATAATAAAGAGTAATTAACCCTTCTTGAGTTTTACGTCTTTTTTCCCGAATTGAAGTAATTATTCACTTATCCGTTCACGAGGTTCCTACACATTTAGCTGTTAGATAAAAGAGTGGAACCCCACAATATTTTAATAAAATTATCAATAATATTTTAATTCTAAATATTAGCATATTTATCCAAGCCTAAAATATTGCATTTTAAGACTAAAATACATAAAAATTAAAAATTATATAAAAAAAATTAAATATTCCATGGGAAAAAAAGTAAAACAGGAAACAGCTACTACATTTTCTGAAATATTTTTAAATTAAAATAATTAGTTATTAAATTAAATAACTATAAAGCAGAGAGTTTAATAATTTCTTCCTTGATTTCGTTCTATTAAGTTTATCGGTTATTTTCGAGGTATCGATATTCATTTATACAAATGCCAGGCATTTGGCCACTAAACCATTAGTCTTGATCTTGCTTTCCAGTACTTAAGAACAATAGAATTAAAAGATAATAGTGCAGTGCATTCGTCAATATGCTCCTTATCCATTGACTGTCTAGAGTTACAAAGAGTACAAACTGAAGAGGCCTCAAATCGAATTTTAGGAGGTTTGCAGAATTAAAAATTATATGGCTATTAGTAGTTTGTAGAAAAGTCATTCCTTTTTCTGTCAGGAAATCTGCTCTTTCATTCCCCTCGATGCCACAATGAGCAGGAATCCACTGCAAGACTGAACTCGCCAAAGTATTGAGAATCTTCATATATACGTAAATTCTTTCAAAGTGCAAAATTTGTTGTTGGAGATAGCCTACAAAGCGGCTTTGCTATTGGACAAAATAACAGCCCGAATAAAATTACTCTTCCGAGCGCTTAATTGATTCAGAGCAATAAACATAGCCTGAACTTCCCCATCAAAATTGGTAGTATCTCTTCCCATTGCCTTATAGAAGGAAAAATGGTTAAAATAGATTCCTGCACCAGCTCCAGTACCTCGTTCAATCATGGATTCATCGGTGTAAACGTGGATCCAAAAGTTACTGGGATATGTTCTCTTAATAGTTTCATAAGCAATGGCTCTGATCTGGGCAGTGGGCATCTCACTCTTATCAATTTTCTCGTCAAGCTCAAGATATACACAGAAATCTCTGTATTCAAGAGGACACAAGGGTACAATCATTACAAATAACACAATCCAAATGCTCAAAAAGAACAAGGAAGCGAGGCAACGCTGTGACAGATTTAGTTTTAATCAGAGTGGCATTACGAGGAGGCATGTCAAAGTACACCTCAAATTCTGTTTCAAAAGAGCAAAGCGACCCCGGTTGGGCTCGCAGTACCAAAATTTTGGTTAACAGCCGAAATTCGGTAACTATCGATATCATTTAACACTTCTTGTACCATGTACAATGTAGCCATAGAGTTTAATTGTTCTTCTGACATCGTACTTCTTAAATTGTTTTTTACTCGTTTTAAAGCAAAGAAAGATCTTTCTCCCGATGTATTGGAAACTCGAATGGACAAAAAAATTTTGAAAATAATTTCTACACTAGGAAAAGTTAATGACATTTCTCGGGCAGCAGGATATTTCTGTAGCAGAACTAAATTTGCTTTCATCTTCTTTTAAAAATAATAAAAACTGTCGTACTTTATCTTCAAATTTGATAATAAATCATCTTTATAAATCCCTTTTAATTTTTTTACACAATTTTTTTTCTAAATTCGACAAATTTAAATTAAAGAACATATTTCAACGAAAATATCCATTTTGACCGCTATCAAATGCAATTTAACGATGTTTTTGCATGACATCTGTACTTAAGGACGAAATAAGAACTCCCCCCAAATATATATATATATATCTATACACAACTGATTTAAAATCAATTCTGAATCAAATGTTTTGTCTTCTTTTAAAAATAATAAAAAACTGTCGTACTTTATCTTCAAATTTGATAATAATCATCTTTATAAATCCCATTTTTTTACACAATTTTTTTTCTAAATTCGACAAATTTAAATTAAAGAACATATTTCAACGAAAATATCCATTTTGACCGCTATCAAATGCAATTTAACGATGTTTTTGCATGAACATCTGTACTTAAGGACGAAATAAAGAACTACCCCCAATATATATATATATATATATATATACAACTGATTTAAAATCAATTCTGAATCAAATGTTTTTGTGGCGTCTGTACGCACGTATTTCGCATAACTCAAAAACTAGTAGCCTCAGAACGTTGAAATTTTGTATATAGGACTGCTATATCATATATCATGTAGATGTGCACCTCCCATTTTAGTTGCAATCGGCCGCACCGAAATATATAAATCCACTCTGTTATTTGGCTCAGTGTCTTTATTCTTATATATTTGTAAATTGTGCATTTTTTTGCTTTGAAAATGATTCAATTATGTTGTTCTGGTTATGATTTTTATGCCATTAGTTAACCTGCATGTAGCAATTGTGAAATTATCAACTATAGAAAAGTTTTTAAGTGCCGCTAGGCCTAATTACTTCCTTGTACGAAGTAAAATGGAAGTATTGTAATCGCAAAAAAATTCGGTTATCATATTTCAAAGAAAATATCCATTTTGACCGCTATCGAATGCAATTTAAAATGTTTTTGCGTGACATCTGTACGTAAGGACAGAAT